GCATACCGAGGGAAGAACTCAGGGATAAGCAGCCCCAGGACTGGTTCTGCAGCACATTCAGGGATCTTTCTGTCTTCTGCGCTGCCACCTAAGGGACCAGCTTTGTTTCTCAGGCTTCTCCCCATCCTAGCCATGGCTGGCTCTAGCAGGACAGGCTGTCCTTGAGGGAAAAGAGAAACTCATCTCTGCTCCCTGTGCTCTTGTTATTATTGAGGAAAATGATGCTTCCATATTTTTATTGTGGTACAATTTATACAGCATAATATTTTTCATTTTAGCCATTTGTATGAGAATAATTCCTACCATTAAGTCAATTCACAGTGTTATATAGCCATTGGCATGGTTTGCAAAAATTTTCATATTCCTTAAGTCTGTCCATGTTGTAGTATGTGGAGTGTTATTAAAAATAAGGTGAATCTTTAAGTTTAAAAAATTATTACAGTAAAAGGTGCATTGCCACCAGTCCCCCTGGGAACACTTTCCCTTGCCTAGAACACATATCCCAGAACTCCTGCCACTCCCTGCAGCAGTTCTGTAGGTTTTTTCTCATGAATATCTTTAGCTGTGCCGTCATAGCTGCTGTGATGTCCTAAGCCATTTTCAAACATGTACTTTTCACTGTCATTTTGACTCGAAAGACCCAGAAATTGCATGATGCCACATCTGGTGAGTAAGGCAGATGAAAGCAAGAAGAAAATCCACCCTATCAGGAGCAGTATGTGACGCAGAACTGGTATGATGCAGGGTGGCTCTGTCCCAGTGCAGCTGATGGCTCTGTGGACCCCTGCAGTGCTCCTGGGGAAGAGAGGCAGAAAAATTACACCACGAGGCTGTTGTGGACCTCAAATGAGAAAATGTATTCCAGTGGCACCTGTTGATTGCCGATGAGTTCCAAATCTGGATTCCTGTCACCTCCTCTTCCAGGCACCTGTGAACTCCAGACCTGCCACCAATCTCTGACTTGGCCTCTGCCTTTGAGTGCATAGTGGGCAGCTCCCGCTGCTAGGGTCTGTGGCTGTGCTCCCTTCTCTACCCGCCACTGAGCCATCCTGCCTCTGACCGGCTCAGGGGTCTCCATCCTTGGTGACGCTGTGGAGTGCTCTCCTGCCCTCCAACACTGAGCCTGTGAGCAAGCGCAGTCTCTCTCCTTGGAAACACTCGGAATCTGATCTTTCTCCTACCCTGGTCTATGCCTCATCCTCTCATACCTGGATCATGGAACGGCTTCCCAGAAGACCCTCCACTCAGTCCCCCCTACTGCTGTCACCTTGTCCTCTTCCAGCCATTTCTCCTCCTCTTCCCTGAATGTCTTTGGGGCCTTTGTGCATGTGGTTTCCTCTGCCTCCCTTGGCCAAATGGCTAGCTTCTCATTTCTTCCAAGTCCTTACTAGAAAACCACAGTGTCAAGAGGGCCTTTCCTAGATGCACATTTTCTGTCGCAGTACCTGCCTGTAGTAGGCCATTCCCCTTCCTTGATTTTACTTTATTTTTTTGTTAGTATTTACTGCTAGCCTGCCCTACAGTGTGTTATACTGTTTCACTTATTGCCTGTCTTTGCTATCAGGGCAGATCGGATACAAAGGTCTCTGCCACAGCACCCGGTTCTGCAAAGACGATGATTTTTGTTTAGCTAATTTTGTACCTCAGTGCTAGGGCCTGGCCTGGCATGTGGCAGGCACTTAATGAATTTGTCAGTGCAGCATTTTCCAGGAGAGAAATCTGAGGCTCAGCACAATTAAATAATCCACTCAAGGTCAAGCAGCTAGGAATTGACCAAGTTGGGGAGCTGGATGTTGTGTGATGTTTTACAACATAAAAAACCCATTTGGCAAAGAGACGGGGCCAGAGGAACAGCCTCACTTCAACCCCGCTCCTGTCACAAGTAGAAGACAGGAAGTACTCTCCGTGAGGAAGCACTTGGCGCTGGAGGGCTTAGCGGAGGCTTTCTGTGGCTTTTTTTTTTTTTTTTAATTTTTTTTCAAAATTTTATTGATAAACAGATAGCAATGAGACAGTTTCAAATCAAATCAGAAGTACAGTTTCAACAAATAATACACTGCATATA